GGGGGGGGGGGGGGGGGGGGGGGGGGGGGGGGGGGGGGGGGGGGGGGGGGGGGGGGGGGGGGGGGGGGGGGGGGGGGGGGGGGGGGGGGGGGGGGTTGGCGCCGCCTGTATTTTTCGTGGGCCTGGCGACTGAAGTAGTCTTGATCAAATCGAGAATATTCTGCTCGCAAGTAAATGCCACGGTTTTCACTGGTCGACGTAGTGGGCAGTTCTTGATCGATTCCTTGGGAGCTGCTGCTGGTGCTGCTGATGCCTGCAGACAAAACCAGTGGTCGGCTTTGGAAGCGTGGGCAAGCGTGCCTTTTGGCCACACGGCGAGAGGTATATCCTTACTCCCCGTGTCGGCAATCGCTCTCGATTTGGGCTGTAGATCCGGGAGACGCACGTGTCATTAGAAGAGGTGGTTGGGGATTGGTACGACGGTAATTGGTGGACGTTACCGCTGTGGGCGGGTTCGGATTGATGTGGGTGCTCCTTGCTGTGGGATAATGGAATGGGGCGGCGTGCTTGGGACGTGATGCGGGCTAGCCGCTTGTATCCAGTCCAGCGTGCGATCGATACGTTTTGTTCGGAGGCCGTGGTGTCCCATGTCTTCTAGTCGTAGAGAGGGCGAACCATAACAACACCAGTTTGGTAGATGTTGTGCACCACTCACATAAATCATCCAACAACGCAGACGGCAAGGAGACTTGCACGCGTACTTCACGCACGTGGCACTCAACTTGATATATGCACTCGTGTCAGCGGAACCTTTGTCTTGATGTATTTTTTTCTCTTTTTGGGGAGAGGCGGGTGAGCCGCATGCTGTCTTAGTCTAAATAGACCCGCTTTCTTACGTGTTTCTCTAGGTCGATCGATATATGTTGTCTACCCGTTCGCGGCAACAATAGACACGCGAGTGTAAGTCGATGCACGCGAGAACTTCAGGAAAACAGACTGCTTGTTGTGCTCGCAGTGCACAAAAGAAGTAGTTGTGCTTCGTGTTTACGTGTTGTTCTGGTAGAATAATAGTGAAGGGGAAGGGGCGAACAAAATAATAGTACAAGTCTCGCCCCACCAATCTATGTAGCTGCGGCCTGCACGTACGTACGTACATATGTACGTTTGTCCGTGGGCAAACGCGCCGAACTTGGGTGGTAAATGCACGGGGTCTGTTCACACAGCTACATAGCTGCTGTGAGTGATTTTCCGGGAGTTGGAGACGGGGTTTTCGAGAGAGTCGGAGGGAGGGTTGTACCATAGTCTACAATGCCGCGTTTTGAAGCAGGGACCCGCCGCCCTCAGGAATCAATCGTAGTTGGTACCGGCAGGAGAGAAGGCTCGGCATCCGGCAACACGCATCGTGCATGGAGGCGGTCGGGAGGGAGGGATTGCACGAGCGACAGAAGAACTTGTCGGAATCACAAAATAGCGTTATATCCGGGGTGCAGAAAAGGCTGGCATGACCGACCGACCGTGTGTATGTAGACTAGTAGTGGATACGACGCAAGATCGATCACTTAGACTACTTGCTGCAAGCATCATGCAGGATTGGCATAGAACGGAGCTCCTTCTTTCTTCGGTGGAGGAGGTTGCGCCGGGTTGCTTCTCACTGTCGGTGGTGCTGTGTAGGACACCGCATGTATGAATGCGTACTGTAGTACAGAACGCGCCACCACTTGCGAACCTCTTGCTTGCCCGAGACTCGTTGCTTGTTTCGTCTAACATGGGGTACCCTCCCCTACGGCGACTTCTATAGACTATAGGTTTTAAATATAGGATTCTTGATTGAGCACCTGTTGTGACCAAGATCGCTCTTGTATTTCGGCATCATCATTGAGACTGAAGTTCTTAGACTAACTGCAAGTTCTTTGGCATGTGGTGGCGCGGTCTGTAACAACCCGCGTGTGTGTGCTTCGCCGGCAGGCCGGTGTGCTGGTCCCCGACAATCGACAATCCGGCGGGGAGCAGAACAAAAAGAACGCGGAACACTCGTTCGTCTGGTGCTTATTGTTGTCATTGCGCTCCTCTTACATGCCTGTAACCTGTCAGACTAGACTAGTGTGCTGTGTAGTGGAAAGAAGTGTGCAGAGGCTGGCTGACGTATTGGTGCAACGTTGTACATAGTAACGATACACTGGCAAAGGACAGCAGGTAGAAGACAACATATCTGAAAAAGATGTCTGCCGAAGGGGGAAAGAGAGCGAACGAGAACCATCAGGTTAATGGACTGACTGGATTATGATGGCCGCAAATCGTTACAAATAGCGCCTCCGCTTACGTTGAGAACCACACAACAAGCATGCATGCAGTTAGAACCCGCATTTACGAAACGTCAGTTGGGGATCGAGGCCCAATTACTTGTTTCTTCACCGTCGAGCGTCTACTGTATGTTATGTAGGGTATACTTAGTGCAGGATCCACGGCTGACTGAAGGTGGGATTCTAGCGCGATTTTTCTTCATGTTGTCGCCAAATATGAGCCCGCGGGCGCTAACTAACTGTAGGTAAGGGCATGATATCTATCGCGTGAAGGTACTCTCCGTCTCCGATCACCATACACAAATGTATGAAAAAATTGAGCAAGATGACCGTTTCTCACGCACTCAACGTGAGAGGTCATCATGACGAGTGCCTAAATCAAATCACGAGAAAACTTTCAAAGATGGACAAACACAGCGCCCATGCCTCTCAGATAAGCTTCAATGCTGGTTCGAAGTGACAGGGACATCGACCTATATAGGTACGTAAGAACAGGTGAGCCTGAACGACCCGCTGGCGAACCGATACGTGATGTTTTTTTCTTTCATCAAGTGGACATGACTGTCAAAACTCGAGCTTCGGCGCCGACAACTACACTACGTATGTATGTGCGCGCGGCACAATTTCCTCAGGTCACCACGTGTTTTGACAAGACAGCACGCGCTTCAAACAAAAAGTTCACGGAACGTCCAATCAAGGGACCCAACCATTCGTGCCACTGCAAATATCGAAAAACCCACAGGCGGCGAAGATAAACCCTGGCCGTCGATCCCTTGAAGCGATGAAGACCGCCGCAAAACATTTCGTTCAAGTCACAAGAAAAAAGAACGGTGCGTAGTTTCTCCCGGTTCGAAGACGTGACCTAAAACATGAAACCTATGGTAGTCTCTACAAAATCCTCTCCAAGAGAAAGGAGGCGGCTTCAAGAAACCGAAATTCATCGAAAAACAGTTAATACCTAACTCGGGATACCACAACGCGAGACACTCAACCTCACGCTCGCTGGACTTCCTAACACACTAAAATGACACGCGACACACTTAAAAAAGAAAGAAAACACATAAATCAATTCGCGAAAAAACAAATGACACAATACGTAGGTGAAGTCTTTCAGTTGGAAGTTGACCAGATATCACATATCTGCCTCTGCCCAAGCTCGCATTCAATGAAATCCCTTATTAAATCACATAAGGACATCTAGTTCCAAACTTCACCCCAGAATAAGCATACCAAGATCATGACAAGAACGCTACCCTCTGAGGTCAAATGAGAAAGACGGCATGCCACGGATATGCTCGCTGACCTTTCAACCGTTCAAGCCTATGTTACTACTACAGAGTCAGCTGGTTGAATCGGAGCCATCACGAACTGCAGAGGGCACCGTCAACCAGTCTCACTTCTCAATGCCTTACGCTGTTGCACGACCCAACCCTAACTCCAGTGGTTCGAACTAGCTTATTTCTTCTTCTTGGCGGAAACCTCCTTCTTCTCGACGGACTTGATGACGCCGACGGCGACGGTCTGGCGCATGTCGCGGACGGCGAAGCGGCCGAGCGGGGGGTACTCCTGGAAGGACTCCACGCACATGGGCTTGGAAGGCTCCATGTTCACCATGCACGCGTCACCGGTCTTGACGAACTTGGGGTTCTCCTCCATCACCTTACCCGAACGGCGGTCCATCTTCTGGGTGATCTCCTTGAACTTGCACGCCACGTGGGCGGTGTGGCAGTCCAGCACGGGCGCGTAGCCGTTCGAGATCTGCCCGGGGTGGTTCATCACGATGACCTGTCCGTTCGGTCGGTACGGACACGCCAAACGAAGCGGAGAAGGAGGGATGGAGCGGGTGTCGAGTTTACACGGGGATAAAACACGACGGACGAGAGGGGACAGCCGCGACGCATCAAACAAACACGTGCTGTTTCTGGTCAGGGTAATTTCGATGGTTGCAGCAGGCACTCATGCTGCTGCGACACTGCAGGGAACGCGCCCTGCATGAACACCCAACAAAAGAGAGCCCTTCCACCCTGCCAACAAGCAAAAAACACCCTCATAGTCCAACCTACATCAGGAAAACGAGCAACCGACAACAACTCGAACGCGCCAACATTTATGCATACAAAACTCCATACAATCAAAACACCCAACAGATGCACGAACCTGGGCGTTGAAGCCCGAGGCGCCCTTAGGGGGGTCCTTCTTCGAGTCACCCGCCACGTAGCCACGGCGAATGTCCTTGACGGACACGTTCTTCACGTTGAAGCCGACGTTGTCTCCGGGCACCGCCTCCGGGAGAGCCTCGTGGTGCATCTCCACGGACTTCACTTCGGTTTCGAGCATGCAGGGAGCGAAGGTCACCACCATGCCGGGCTTGAGGGTGCCCGTCTCCACGCGGCCCACGGGCACCGTGCCGATACCGCCGATCTTGTACACGTCCTGGAGCGGCAGGCGGAGGGGCTTGTCCGTGGGGCGGGTGGGCTCCTTCATCGAGTCGAGCGCCTCCAGCAGGTAGGGGCCCTTGTACCACGGCATGTTGGTCGACTTGTCGATCATGTTGTCGCCGGCCCAGCCCGAGATGGGCACGAACGGGATCTTCGCGGGCTTGTACCCCACCTTCTTCAGGTAGATCGCTACCTCCTCCTTGATCTCCGTGTACCGAGACTCGCCGTACATCACCGAAGAGTCGTCCATCTTGTTGATGCACACGATCATCTGCTTCACGCCCAGGGTGAAGGCCAGCAGCGCGTGCTCCCGAGTCTGCCCGTTCTTCGAGATACCCGCCTCGAACTCTCCCACGCCCGAGGCCACAACCAGCACGGCCACGTCGGCCTGCGAGGTGCCGGTGATCATGTTCTTGATGAAGTCGCGGTGGCCGGGGGCGTCGATCACAGTGAAGTTGTACTTGGGCGACTCGAACTTCCACAGGGCGATGTCGATCGTGATACCGCGCTCGCGCTCGGCCTTGAGGTTGTCAAGCACCCACGCATACTTGAACGAGGACTTGCCCAGCTCGGCCGCCTCCTTCTCGAACTTCTCGATCGTACGCTTGTCGATACCGCCGCACTTGTAGATCAGGTGACCGGTCGTCGTCGACTTACCGGCATCTACGTGCCCGATAACCACCAGGTTGATGTGGATCTGCGAACACAACAAGCAAGCCCAGACAGGAATGAAACGAAGGGATGGTACCCGCGTCAGGAGCCAAATTGGAAGTACATGGAGTAAGCGCGCCCAGCGTGCGTGCCAACAAAAACAAAAGAGGTTATTGTATGAAACGCCCGTACAGCAGAAAAGGAAGCAAGACCGATGAGGGCAGCGGCGTGGAGAGTGCGAGGACCACTGCCAGCAGCAGCCTGTCGCCGCGAAGTTGAGCGGGGGAAATCCGCATCGGCTGTCCCAGACAGGTCAAGTCAATTAATGCTCCACATGTCAAGTCTCTGAACACAGGGAGGTAGAGCTGCTTGACGCGAGATTTTTTATCAGACCACCATACAACGTTATCTATTGGGATCGTGCCGCGCCTCCTTACGGCCACTTTCGACACGAACACCATGCTGTTCGATTAAAAGGGTTATGAGACCGTCAACAAAAATCGTATGTTTTGTTCGGGACTTTCCGCTAACGCGAGTAGAGTTGCTGGGAAGAAGCAATTATCGGGTAATCTGGGAGCAATAAAGCTGTCATTAGTCGCAGAAGCGGCAGCAGGAGTGGCAACGCAGACGCGGCGTTCTTCATAACAAAAGCGAAGTTGGCAATAGTTACAGCGCATTCCGCTAAGCGGATGCGCCAAGCAAACATGAGGGAGTTCGTTGTTCCTACGGCGTTTAGATGTAGGGGTGCAGCGGTTGTATGAAGCAATGGTTGTTTCCTTTTCTTCCGGTGCGCTTGCTGTCGTGCTTTTCTTTGTTTTTTCTTTTTGTAACATCAAAGGGGGTGCGCCAGACACACGTGAGAGAGAGTTGCTGCTACGTTGCGAGGGCGGGGAGAACAGCTGTAGTAGTGGTAATGTTTAATGTTCGATATTTCTTCGTGCGGTGCGCTTCCTGTCGTCGTTCGTTCTCCCTGTTGTCTTTTTATATCGGGCAACTCCGAAGGAGGGCAACGAGGACTTACATGTCCACTAATCCTACATTCATTTTCGATCCACGATCCACATCGTACTCTGTTGACCTCGCAAAGCTTGAGCGCTGCACCATGAAATCACCGCCTCCTCAATAGTGCCGGTTAGTACCGGACCGGCACTACTTAGGTATATTCGAAGCCTAAATACTGCCGAACCGGCACTATTGAGGCAGTATTCTGAAAAGTGCAGGTGCCCGGTAAAGTGCCGCTTTTCCCTCTGAACACTACCCGGCACTATAGCGGGCCCCCCACCGCAATCGCAGAAAAGATTCCCAGGCCACCAACAAAATCCCTGACTCGATGGATCGCGGCTTCCGGCCGCATTATTGCATTATTGAAATACTTTCCCGACGCCAAGAAAACAGAATCATTCCGAGCGCAGTATCAACAACTAGTGTGAATCACACAAAGCAATGGTGCGAACGTGGCATGCAATTGTTCGGTTGCATTTTAAACACGCGAGTACGGCAGAAGCAGTCTAGACCACCAACTTGCTTCAAAGGTAAACAGCTGAACCTTGGACGCGGCCTTCCAAGTGTACTACTTCACGTCATACACTCGCGCGACAACTCAACCATTGCGATGAAGGCAAGCTCCGCACCTTTTCCTTTCCCATTTTGCTTGAAGGTGTTTTTACTGCGAGAGGGCCGGCCGATTGTGGTCTGGCATCCGTCCGGTTGCATTAAACAGCAGACGAAGGTCCGCGGTAGGAATCAAGGCCACCAAAAAACACGCGCGACAGTCACACACGGCATAAAAGGATGGGGAGAGTGCGCTCCATGTTAAAACGCCGGTCAACGTGAACGGCAATCAACACTCAGTGGCGATAACGGCAATCGGTCAAGGTGGAGCCTACGTGTGTGGGGTGACCAGGGAGTGGGTGGATCGTGTGCATTGGATGGCTGTCCATCTCCGGCACATGTGCGGCGTGATTCTTGTTCTCAAAATCGAATGGTGACCGCTTAGCGTGTTGCGATACACCGTCAAGACCAGAGCGTACGCCAAAACATATTCGGACACCAACTTTAATCCAAGCAGGCAGCCCACGATTGAAAGCTGGCTGTTGATATACCGACGCACAGGCAGCGCTTGCTAGCAACTCGTCTCCAAGACTTGCGCCAACATTTGCATATTGCTGACAAGAACAGATCATCACGCTCGCGCGACCGATTCTACACTCGGTCGGTCTCCCGACCCACACAAAAGTATAAACCACGGACACCGACACAAGCTAAGGACCATCGATGCCATGGGGTCCTCGCGGGATCCATAGTTTGCATTGTTGTCGTTGGCCGCGGCTTACCTTGAACAAGGCTGGAGGGCAAGTGGTTGATGTGCGGTGTGAGTGTGAGGCGTTGAGTGGAGCGGGACAGAAATTGAAAATATAGACCCCTACCCCCGTGAAAACAATTTTTCCAATGACCACAGGGAGCATGTAATATTCAGATCTCTTTCACCGGCCCCCGCGGCCTGCTCTCATGCTCGTTGTCACTTTTCGTCTCCCTAGCACGTGAGGAAAAGTCAACCCCTCTACCTTACAGGTACGAACGAGCTCGTTGTTGAAGTGCAGCAGGAGCCCGAGCGCCTGGTGCACACCGTCAATCCTCTCAGCGGCTTTTTATTAGGTTTCAGTTTTATTTCATCTGCTCCGCTGTTTTTTGCGCTGTTGGCGGCTGTAGAAGACCTCCGCACCACCCTTTTCGCCCTGAAGTGATCCCATTCTGCACAAGCCGATCCGTAATTATCACTCGCGCGCCTTGGACTCATCCTAGTGTTAGCATCCTGAAGAGTTGAGTGCAGATGGTGTTTGTTCAGTTGCCTGGCGCCGCGGAGAAACTGGTTTCCGAGGCGACCGGCCGTCCCGACTTTTTTGCGGCAGCGCGCGCAACACCGAAACCAATCACGCACGCTCGTGTGGGCCGTGAGCAATTTTTTTGTGGATGTACGCCCGCGGCGTTTCTCCGTCGCTCCCGTAGCTGAGGCAAAATAATATTGGCAGTTCCGACACTAAGGTTATTCACGAGCTGAAGCTGCGACGCAAGGCACACCTCTTGGCGTCCGTTTGCTGATCGCTCAATTAAACAGGTGGTAGGCGTGAGCCGACACGCCGCTCGGCATCCCTTGTTCAACAAATCTCCACCACAAACAATCCCAATCTTGATTTCTCCCTCCTTTAACCGAATCTGACTCAAACGCACGACGTCTCTGCTGCCACCCTGTGGCTCCTGCGGCCGCTCGTCTTCAACGCCCCGTCGAAATCTGCTTGCCGGGATCAGGACTCCGGCTTCTTAGCTCAATCCACCAGCCAAAATGGGAAAGGAAAAGGTGCGTGCATCGCTCGACCATCTTGGCGTACTTTTCGTTTTCCAGACTATGGATAAAAATACACGTGCATCACTCATTTTCGGTCTCCGAACCTTGTTACAGCCGATCGGGGCCGCTCTCGCATGCCCGCAGTTGTTGCAGTGCCGGGATCTTACTGGATCCGAGTGGCCACTACCCTGTCAGGACCTTTGTTTTTTGTCCTGCTGTGTTGGCAGCGCCTATCGTTTTTATCCACAGGCGCGTTTTGTTGTCTTGAGCTTCATGGTTCGCCAAAAAAAGGAAGCATTTTGCGATGCACGCGGTTCAAGCGGAAATTCGGCGTCAGTGCAAGCACATGTTGGGACAGAGATGATTGATTTCGGTGTTGAGATGTGCTGGATCTGGATCTATTCTGGCAATATGACTTCAACCAAACGTCACCCTCTTGCAGAGACACGCATGGTTCAAGTGTACTTGAGAATGCGATTTTGTAGTGAGGATGACGTCGACTTTCAAAAACCTTCAGTAGAATGGAAACCGACAGTACCATCTGAGAAATTCATGTGTGCATATATATTTAAGCAGCATGGCAAATGGGAAATAAAAGACACCGCAACAGGCATGGCCGCCCGCGTACCACCTCTTTCATGATGAACATACGGCAAATTGCGACGCATACGACTCGCTCGCTTCAGCATGTCTGGGGTATTTTCAACGAAGAGCCTATCCAACATATATGGTGACTGTTTTTTATCAACAACGATTCATACACAGCAGTAGGACGCGGAACGTGGTTTATTCGAATACTGCAATTCGGCGCCATGTGATCATTCGCTTGCGCCAATAATCCGAGAATCGTTTATTGCGGGAACTCCATCCAAGGGCGCCCTGACTTGCTAAACGGCGATCGAGGTATATCACTGCCACATACGCATCTCGCAATAGAGCGATTAACGTCGGTATATTCAAACCAATTTTGATCAGCAGACAACACAACAAATGTCGCCAGGTGATTGGTGTTTACTGGTTTCTTGCGCTTCAAAAAATCTTGAGCCCTCCCGCGACGCCACGAAACATGAGAACTTTTCAAACCACCTCCTTCATTTCCTGTCTGGGCTTGCTTGTTGTGTTCGCAGATCCACATCAACCTGGTGGTTATCGGGCACGTAGATGCCGGTAAGTCGACGACGACCGGTCACCTGATCTACAAGTGCGGCGGTATCGACAAGCGTACGATCGAGAAGTTCGAGAAGGAGGCGGCCGAGCTGGGCAAGTCCTCGTTCAAGTATGCGTGGGTGCTTGACAACCTCAAGGCCGAGCGCGAGCGCGGTATCACGATCGACATCGCCCTGTGGAAGTTCGAGTCGCCCAAGTACAACTTCACTGTGATCGACGCCCCCGGCCACCGCGACTTCATCAAGAACATGATCACCGGCACCTCGCAGGCCGACGTGGCCGTGCTGGTTGTGGCCTCGGGCGTGGGAGAGTTCGAGGCGGGTATCTCGAAGAACGGGCAGACTCGGGAGCACGCGCTGCTGGCCTTCACCCTGGGCGTGAAGCAGATGATCGTGTGCATCAACAAGATGGACGACTCTTCGGTGATGTACGGCGAGTCTCGGTACACGGAGATCAAGGAGGAGGTAGCGATCTACCTGAAGAAGGTGGGGTACAAGCCCGCGAAGATCCCGTTCGTGCCCATCTCGGGCTGGGCCGGCGACAACATGATCGACAAGTCGACCAACATGCCGTGGTACAAGGGCCCCTACCTGCTGGAGGCGCTCGACTCGATGAAGGAGCCCACCCGCCCCACGGACAAGCCCCTCCGCCTGCCGCTCCAGGACGTGTACAAGATCGGCGGTATCGGCACGGTGCCCGTGGGCCGCGTGGAGACGGGCACCCTCAAGCCCGGCATGGTGGTGACCTTCGCTCCCTGCATGCTCGAAACCGAAGTGAAGTCCGTGGAGATGCACCACGAGGCTCTCCCGGAGGCGGTGCCCGGAGACAACGTCGGCTTCAACGTGAAGAACGTGTCCGTCAAGGACATTCGCCGTGGCTACGTGGCGGGTGACTCGAAGAAGGACCCCCCTAAGGGCGCCTCGGGCTTCAACGCCCAGGTTCGTGCATCTGTTGGGTGTTTTGATTGTATGGAGTTTTGTATGCATAAATGTTGGCGCGTTCGAGTTGTTGTCGGTTGCTCGTTTTCCTGATGTAGGTTGGACTATGAGGGTGTTTTTTGCTTGTTGGCAGGGTGGAAGGGCTCTCTTTTGTTGGGTGTTCATGCAGGGCGCGTTCCCTGCAGTGTCGCAGCAGCATGAGTGCCTGCTGCAACCATCGAAATTACCCTGACCAGAAACAGCACGTGTTTGTTTGATGCGTCGCGGCTGTCCCCTCTCGTCCGTCGTGTTTTATCCCCGTGTAAACTCGACACCCGCTCCATCCCTCCTTCTCCGCTTCGTTTGGCGTGTCCGTACCGACCGAACGGACAGGTCATCGTGATGAACCACCCCGGGCAGATCTCGAACGGCTACGCGCCCGTGCTGGACTGCCACACCGCCCACGTGGCGTGCAAGTTCAAGGAGATCACCCAGAAGATGGACCGCCGTTCGGGTAAGGTGATGGAGGAGAACCCCAAGTTCGTCAAGACCGGTGACGCGTGCATGGTGAACATGGAGCCTTCCAAGCCCATGTGCGTGGAGTCCTTCCAGGAGTACCCCCCGCTCGGCCGCTTCGCCGTCCGCGACATGCGCCAGACCGTCGCCGTCGGCGTCATCAAGTCCGTCGAGAAGAAGGAGGTTTCCGCCAAGAAGAAGAAGTAGCTATCTTCTCTTCCCCGTTCGACTGTCGATTTTCCTGCAGTCGAGCAGGACTCTTCCGGTCGTTCGCGCAGCAACAGATGGCGCTGTTGTGCACCTACGGTTGAGAGAGACATGGTAACAGCTGGTGAAGGACTCGAAGATCGTTTTCAGGCAATGATGCTGTATCGCGGGCGGCAGCTTTTCGAAAGCCTTGCGGTAACTATAGCTGACTCTAGACGGCGTTCGACGCGTGTTCCTCGGAAGGAAAACAAACGACGCCCTTGGTTGATTTTTCACCGCGGGTACAGATGGTCTCTTTTCGTGGTCGAGAGTTGATGTGTTTGCGTGCTGCCGTTCTGGAGAGAGCTTTCGCAAGGGCTTGGGTTGTGGTCGTCATGTTGATGCTTGATGTGTTTTGCGCTTTCTGTATACGGCGATATTTTCTTGGTTATCAGATATATGCTGTTGTCGTGGAAGAGATGGTTTCGTCATCTTTGTAGTGGGAATGAAGATAATACCTCACGTGCTAACAACTTCCGAAATCTCTTCTGCAAGCGCTTCCCGGTGGCTCCGATTGGCGACACACGCCGAGGTTTTTTCTCCGCCTGTGTCGTGTTATCTCGGTCGAAGGTGCACGGGTTAACAGTTGGTCTCCACGGAAAATGTGTGCACGTGCGACAAGGTGTGGTGGCCCGCCCCGAGGTTTAACCTGCGTTTACATTTGCCCTCCACAATCACAAATGTTACATTCAGGGCGAAGGACGATATCCCTTATCTGCACGTGGGCTATCCGTTGGGATTACAAATGAGCCCAGACCGTCCAGAGGTCTTTCTTGGTGATGCGGGCAGTGATGAGGGCAGCATGAACAAACGCACTCCGTTCCGCAAACATCTGCATGTTTTATTGGAAGGTGTCCACGTGAGACTGCCTACAAAACACACCCTGATGTATCTACAACATGCGCGGGTGTGTACCACCGTATTCGCGACGTGCTTTGAACGCTGATATATAGCATGGTGCGGTCTACACGGTTTTACCAAAATGCGTTTGGGCCAGGGTGCTGGTTGTGTCGGTATGTTTTCTCACTGCACACTTCCTTCATTCGAACATCACTAGAATACTGGTGACCGGGCTATTTAATATGCTGTGATCGCTTCAAATCAAAGTTGGAGATTTTTGTAACTCTAAACTCCCACATGACACGGCAGAATTGGCGGCGGTGGTTGAAAGATGAAAACCTGGCAGTGCGTCCCTGTCTGTGTGTGGCTCATGATACCCAGATCCAAAGTGTTCAACCTCGTCTGCAAATGGACTTGTAGGCTAATTGTTTTTTTTTGAATGTGTTGTCGAGGGTTCGTGAGGCGTCGGCGAGAATATTTTTGAAAATGTCCCGCGCACATCGATCACGATTTAGAGTCAGTGCCACCGCGTGCGTGCAACGAGCTTACTCGAGCAAGCAGATTGGAGCTTGCCTGCGTCGGAGAGGGGTATCTTCTCGAGAGGACGCTCTTGATTTTGCGCAAGGCGACCAACGCCAGAGCAAAGTGGTTGCATAATCCGAGCCGGTGCAACCAGAGCCCACGTTTTGGCGCTCTACAAGTGGTCTCCTACCGCTTGGTTCGAGGGCGTCTTGATTTGAAAAGGTCTTGAAAAGGTGAGATACGTTTGGGGCCATAGATTTCTGCAGTGGCCATCACGTTATGCGCTGCCCGCACGAGAGACATGCGTTCTGCAACGGTTGCAGTAATTTTCTGCCGTGGTCCATCTGGTGGCGCCCCCTTCCGCAACAGCAGTGTCTAGGTTTGAAGTTTGAAAACATCAACCCCCCGCCCCATTCCACGTCAGGCAGCAGGAGGAGTCTCAAATGCTCAAATGCTTCATCGCCTTCATTGACAGAGTTGGTGAACGCCGCACTGGCAGCAGTCTCCTGAAATGTGTCACCCAATGCACCACTGCTGTGGTCGTCTTCAGGCGATCCTCACTGCTGCGGTTTTTCATGATTTTCAAAAGTCTGCATGGCCAGTGTTGTGGCGCGTCGACACCTGCGAAACTCCTTTCGGCATCCATTGTGCATCGGTGTACACAGAGCAACCACGGCTGCTGCAGACAAATGTGTAAGCAGTCCTCATTAGTCTAGACTTAAGGCTCGAAACGAATCATTGAAACATGGAATCAACAGCTGGGGTTCTGTTCCCACACTGACTTTGCCCCACTCGTATCGGTTGCTGCCCGCTCTTTGTCGCCGCCATGGAGCACAAAAAAAGCCAGGGCAGCGGCACAGCCGACGGAGTGTGAAAATCCTTGAGCCATGTACAATCAGTAGCCAATACAACTAAACGCTTTTGTTTTCCATCAAGAGCACACATGGAGAGTTGTAGACTATTCGTGTTTCTTTGGTACAGTCGACCCCGCTTTAAAGACACACCACGTTTCCCCCCCAAAGAAGTGTCTTTAACGCGGGGAGGTGTCTTTAAAATTCCGGGGCCACTAACGCACCATCCCCGGGGCCAATGAAGGCGAAACAAATGTCAAAACGTGCGCATTCGCAGCAGAAAGGCGACCGCAAGAGGTCTTGTTTGAAACCTACGACACAAGGTGATTTGAAGGTTGCGACCACTGCTGCTATTGTGCTGCAATACATACTTGCATACCATCGTTTGAATTTCCCCGTGCTGTACCACCAAAACGCTGAAAGCGATGGTGTTCTACGACCTACGCATCGGACATGTACGCGACGGCAGTGCGCTGATGTTGATATTGGCTTAATTGTTTGCTTTATTTTATTTTAGGCGTTGTCCTCCCCGTGAATATCTTGCCCAAGATCTCGCTACCGCACCTGAGAAATATCGAAGGTTGTAAAACGACACTAGGAAAATGTAGGTGACGCAGAAACACAGAGACCAAAAATGTCGGGAAAGCACAGCGACAAAGAGGACACCGCGCCTCCCAAAAGGTCAAAACGAGGCACAACACAACACAAACGCCAATTTCAACCTCACGAGACTTCACCCAAGGCAAACAACGAACGTTGGCAATAAAAGTGCTTTGCTCGAAACCAAAAACTACACCCGCCACATATCCCGAAGAGTCGCCTGCACCTCCCCCCCCTCCTTTGCTCTTCGCTTGACCTGAGTTTCATCAGTAAACGCACAGCAGTCATCGAAAGAAGGTACGCCGTTTCGCTGTACTCGCCGTCTCTTCCATGTGTGTACAAGTAAGAGCGGACATCTTCGAGCCGAGAGCGAACTACAGGTGCTGCAGCACATTTTCTGGGGGGGGG